CTAATGTAGGAGAGGGAACATGTGAGTGAGTCACCACAGTAGAGAGACCAGCTTGCTGCGAGCGAGAGCAGCGATCTGTGGCTGATGAGTGAAAACAAAAGAAAAACATTCAGGACTGAAACTCCGTCAACACCGGCTGGCGACGCGGCTGCATTTCTAAACAAACCATGTCATTATGGCGGCACGCGCAGCTGCAGCTCACGGTTCCGGGAGAACCGGGCATGCCCCTCCCATCAGCAGCAGGTGGAGCTCACCGCTCCGCCCATCTCACAACCAGAGCGGAACAAGAAGCACATCGGCTTGGATTATACAGATGGGATTCTGTGTGAAATAACGCCAGTTAAATTATTACTTAAGTGTTGTTTGTGTGCATGTTGATTAGTAGCTAGTGCTATAATTAATGTCATCTGGTTTTTTCATAAAGCCTACACACTGTGCGTGATGAGCGTTTGGGGAGTGCAGGCGCTGGTTTGGCGTGAGAGCGTGTGAAGAGGGTCAAACGCGTGTGTCTCACGCTCAGTGCGTGAGAGTTGGCAGCTCTGCAGTGTGACGTGGATCTGTCAGGATTTTCAAATCCTAGAGTTTCACCTTCTGTTTTCTATCAGAAGCTAATGCAGGAGATAGGTGTAGGAGACTATTTTCATGTTCAGCCTGCAGGAAAAACTCAGACTGAACGACTACAATCAGAAATCAGATTTTTTTTTTTATGGTTTTTTATTGTTCCACACCTTTAATTTTAGCCTGGATGTTTCCCAGAGTTAAGATTTTGGCAGATTTTTGAAGAATAATAAAAAATCGTTATAAATTCTGCTAAATCATTCATGAATTTGTTGCATCTCAGGTCGGGAAAAATAATTCTGCATATTTAAGTGTTACTGAATATTCAAAGGGTGGAAGGTTTTTGGTTCCAGAGAAGAAGTAACTCATTACTGGCTGTGGATGACTCGTAGCTCAAATGGAAATCTCGCATAACAACAGGCAGAAGGAGTTATTTGTGTTTCTGGCTCCTGAAGAGTCGAGATGGGAAAGATCTCTGGAGAAAAACGGAGTTTCTTCTTCTCTTTCTCTGGCTGCTCAAGTCAAAATCTGGGCAGAGTGTGAACCAGTAGGCAGATCCTCTCTTAGGTTTTTTTTTTTTTTCTTTTACTTTGGCCACTTACAATGAGCCAACGCGAGGCATATGCTGCTGTCACACACTCTAATTAACCTCATCCGAGACTCATAAACACACACACACACACACACGGAGTGTTTTAAATAATTTGCATACTGAGGCCGGCTGACTTCTTGTTGAAAAAGAGCGCTAGCAACTGTGACAGAGGAGACAAATCGAGAAAGCAAGTGGACTCGAGTGTGTGTGTGTGTGTGTGTGTGTGTGTGTGTGTGTGTGTGTGTGTGAACGTAAGAGCAGGACTTTTTTTAATCTTTCTTTTTATCAATGATAGCGGTATAATGGGGCCATTAAAATAGCCCTGGTTGCTTTACCTCCTTCTCTATTTTTAACTGTCCGCCGTCCCGTAGGAGCGAGGAGGAATATGCTATCACATTACACTATGCTACATTACACTCATTCATTATGTGCTGAGCAGACACCTCTGGCTCCCAGGAGCGCCCGTAAGTGGCCGTATTATTCTAAATCGCCAGTTTCACACCAGAGGAGAGAGGATGGAGGTGGTGAGGAGGTAAAAAAAAATAAAAAGGTGAGAGGAAGCGAGCGGCGAGGGCGGGAAGAAAGTGGCCGACTCAGGAATGAACGGGTTTGGTTTTGGAGGCTGGACGCAACAGCTGGATGTGCAGCCTCGAGACCACGCTGAGAGATGCAAACGTTTAGCTTTTGTAAGCAGGATGTTCTGCCTCCTAATGACTCCTCTGTAGATTACTGCGGGAAGGTGAGGAATGGGCTTTGCTTTAGTCCTCCATCTGCTATGTTTACCCACCAATCACTCAGAGATCGCTCCAAGAAGCCCAGCTTTGCAGAAACACAGCAACCCCCCCATCTCACTCACACACACACACACACACACACACACACACACACACACACACACACACACACACACACACACACACACACACACACACACACTTCTCCCATATATGTAATTCTTTCTCATTGCAGCTGCACTAATTACACTCTCATTAATGTAATTAATATTCACTGATCCAGCTCCCACAAGTCACAACATCAAAACACAGCGCAGGCCGATTAACACGCACGCACACATGCACACACACACATACACACACATGCACACACAGACAATACCCATCCATCCATTTTCCACTGCTTGGCCAAGGACTGATCGCAGAGGAAGCAGATCCAGGAGGGACCTTCATTCCTCCTGAGGAGACTTTCAGAGTTGTTTCCAGGCCAAAGAGAATAAAATAATCCCCCCCAGTGAGATTTGGCTTTGCCATTTCAGAGGAAAGCAACCAGAAGGTGGTCAGAGGCCCAAAATACCTCAGCTGGTGCCCTTTGATGAGGAGAAGCAGCGAATGTGCTCTGAAAACTGTTCCTAAGGTTGAGCCAAAATGTGTTCCTCCATGAAAACCAGATTCTCTCCATTTTATCCTTAAATTCATGTGTATTTTGTTTTTGTTTTTGTGGCAATTTGGAGTTTTTGTGCTCTCTCAGATCAACAGAAAAATCACCTTGACGAATATCACTGATGACGACGGTTCTACGGTGATAGGTGAGACGATAAGATCACACGTTTGTCAAATACACCCAACAGATTAATTCCATCACGTGTTTGTCTATTTCAAAATCTATATCTATCAGCAAGGGGCGTGCAACCAGATAGCTGGACGTTCAGTATTCTCAGACAAGGGAGGACACAAATTTCTTGGGAAACGTATCTTGCTGTAACACCGGTCGCTGAACTTCCTGTTTCAGTGGCTTTTATCCAAGCTCTGGATCCTAAACTTGCTTTAACGAACTTCTTATCACAACTCAGCCATATAAACATAAACACGTCGGGTTAGAAAACACAAATCTCCACGTACAAAAGTTTTAAACGGAAATTATTTAGTTCAATGAGCATCCAGAGTTTCACTAATCTGAAAATGTTCTTGTTAATTTCAGACGTTTGGTGAAGTTTTAAAGCTTCATCAAAGCCCTAAATCAGAGATCAGAAGCAAATATTTCTTTAAAAAAGTATGACCCCCCCCAAAACAAAAAAAGGCCTACCGCATGGCTCTCAGTGCAATTTTGTACGCCAGTTCAGCGTCGTGAGGTAGCAGAGAGGTGAAGAGATAGCGAGCGAAGGTGTGCATGGGGACACTCTCTCTGTGGACAATCTCTCCAAGACCAGAGTACGGACCAGCTGTAAATAAAAAAAAGGACAAAAACGGGTTCCGCTGTTAGTCATCGGCCCAGAAAACACAGAAACTACATTTCTACCCAGTAAAGTAAATCATTTGTGTGAGAGTTTACACGTTTTCATGTTGCTGACTCTGAGTCATGACTTCCTGTTTGAGTGTCTTTCACGTCCAGCCGGAAAAGGGCAAAGCCACGTGGCGTTAAAACAAGCCGTGACGTCAAAAACACATGGGGCATGTGTGCAGACTTGGCCCTGTGCCCTCCTCCCCGTCTTCCTGCCCTCCCCCTCATCTCTGGTGGGTTATTTTAAACCCCAACGGGCCTCTAAACCGCAAACCACATCACAGAGCGGCGCGGCTGCAGCCTCCCGAGGCTCGCGGGGCCCTCGGAGCCCAGCGCTGTTAGCAAAGGAACCAGAGGTGGGTGGTCGCGCCTGGGACGAGGCAGGGCTGGGGTTTGGGTGGGGACTGGACTGGAGAGGAGTTTTACTGGGTTGGTTCTTCCAGTATGTGCCACCACCACCACCACTATCCTCCTCCTACACCACATAAACACACATTCTGCTCTAGCTCCTGAATGCACACTTGTGTGTGTGTGTGTGTGTGTGTGTGTGTGTGTGTGTGTGTGTGTGTGTGTGCGCGTGCGTGCGTGCGTGCGTGTGTGTGTGTGTGTGTGTGCTGACACAATACCCTTGAGTGAGGAGCTCATTTTGGTCTGGCCCAGGACGGTTCGGCCTCTATTTGCACCACAAAATGAAAGGATAATAAATAGCAAGAGAGTGAAATGTGTTTTTTCCTGTTTTAGCAAGAATGTCTAGGCTCTCGGTGCGTGGGTGGGGGAGAAATGACAGGGACGAGGTGTTTCTGTGTCTATATGTGTGTGTGTGCATCTGTAGAAGCAGAGGGTGATGCAAAAGTTGAGGAAATAAAGAAAAATAGGTCAAATGTTTACATTTACACAACTTGTTTCTAGTTAAAGGGACTTTACGGAGTTTTGAATTTTAAAGTTTGCGATTGCCCCCTCAGGCCAAAAGCGTAACGGCAGCTTCAATAGTAGGCTGGTGCACGAGGCGCGTATGCTGTACGTGCACACTCCTTAACGAAAATAACAGCTGAGACAGTCGTGTGTGTGTGTGTGTGTGTGTGTGTGTGTGTGTGTGTGTGTGTGTGTGTGTGTGTGTGTGTGTGTGTGTGTGTGTGTGGGTGGGTGGCCCGGAGGACAGGAGAACACGCAGCTAATTAATTAAATAATTTGGTTCTGTACCTTTCTCTTCAGCACAGCCGACAAAGGTTTATGATGGGTCAGTCCTCCTGCATGCTCAGATCATTCCCTTCCCTTGCTTGAAAAATTGTTCCAAAATGAAAGTTGAACCCACATCTTTTTTATCTGTGAATTCAATGCCGTTCGGCGAGTCTCAAATAAAAATTTGGGCATCTTACTGTAAAAAAATACCATTAATGTAAAAAAGAAACTCTAAATAAACTATGTTCACATCCAGAGTCAAACCCAGGTCTTCTGCACGAGAGTCCAACTCCTTACTAGGTGAGCTAAAGCGCCAGTGACATCTTTTGTACCTGTAACATTTATATCCTTGATGACAGCTGAAACAACGTTCAAAGAACGGTTTGGAGTGAAAATGGCTATTTTGTTGCTAATTTGCAGGAAATATCTAGAAGAAAGTTCTACAGAAAGTAGCTAAGGGTCCTCAGAAATGTAGCTAGGTTTGTCACTAGGCGTTAGGAACAGCGACAAAGTGGCACTGCCTCTCTCTCTGCTGCTAAAGCTACGGATAGCAAATGCTACGGGCGATGCCTGAGCGTGAACGCGCATGAAGCAGCCTGCTCGACCCGAGCATCTCTCTTTTTCTGTGATTTTACAGAAAAACAGGCAATCACAGTAAAAATGCCAGGGCTCATTCTACAGGACCAGGGCATTGCAGGAGAATGTATGAAGAAGAAACTTATTATTTCTATACATGTTTTGGCTGTCAAACTTCCATAATGTCTCTTTAAAGTCAAGACGCTTCCTGAAGTGAAACATCGGTCTTCAGCACTGAACCTGATAAGAAAACACACGCAGCGATGATCTTTCCTCACCTTCCAAAAAAAAGACGGCCTGTTTACGAAAGATTTTCACCAAGGAGTCGTCCAGTTCCACTTCTTGCAGCTTGGCCAGTAGCTGCTCTTCGTTGCGACACACCTTCTCTTGAGCGTACAGCCCGTCAGGCATCACCCGCTGCTGGCCCAGGCCGATCAGAGCCGTCTCGACCGCCAGCGCCAAGTACGACTCGCCGTCTCCCAGCAACCTCTGCACCGGCATTCGCTGCAGGTCCGCTCGGCTCACCACGCTGGAGCAGTCTGTGGAGAGCGGAGGCGACGGCGGGGTGGTGTGATTTAAAACAAGCAAAAAGAACACACAAATCAGGTCTGATTAGGGAGGATGTTTAGACTTGGAGACGAGGCGGAGGATGAAGGCACGGTGTGTCAGATAAGATAAAAACTGTTAAACTTCTGCTTTTTATTGCTAAAAAATCTTTTAAGAAAAGGTAAATAATCTTTAATCTCCTGTTTGGCATAGACTGAGTTAACACACCGAATGATGGCTGTGCTCATCGTGCTTAATGTTTATGTTTATGTATTTAGCAGACGCTTTTGTCCAAAGCGACTTACAAGTGCTAATCGGCATGTTGCCCTTGAGGCTAACAACAACAATAACAACAACTTGACATCAATCATGAAGAGGAGGGAACAAGGAGTGGACGGTAGAGGGGGACGGGTGCAGGGAGGGTGCTAGTTTAGAAGATGCTCTCTGAAGAGCAGGGTCTTCAGGAGTTTCTTGAAAATTGAAAAGGAAGCCGCTGTTCTGGTAGTGCTTGGAAGGTCATTCCACATTTGTGGAACGATGCATGAGAAGAGTCTGGATTGTCCTGAGCGTGCTGTAGGCACTGCTAGCCGACGATCCTGTGATGACCGGAGCGGCCGGGCCGGTACTTTTTAAGGTACCGACCGAACACCGATTCACGTCATTTCAAACGGTGCCTCGTTTCGGTACTGCCAAGACAGTTGCGCATGCGCAAGAGCGTTATGTCGCCGGTCCCTGCGAGCCCGTTGTAAACAGAGCAAGCATGGTAGAAAGAACGCACGCTAAAGCTTGGGTCCACTTCACTAAATGTGATGGGTAACTGGGTGATGAAACTAGAGACAGACAACGATCTAAGTGAGACATCCTCATCTTAATCTGCTCCGGTAGGTAAATAAAATGTTTAAGATGACGTTACCTTGATTTGTTAGCTTCTGTTTCGCTAATGGTGCGTTCGCTTTCTCCTCGGAACTCCGAATTTCCGACTAGAAGAACATGAACGCGCTCTAAAGTTTGGCTTTACTTTACTAAATGCGACGGGTGAATGGGTGAAGGTAAAACCAGCGACAACGATCTAAGTTTGAGGCATCATCGTTTTAATCTGCTCCAGCAGCTAAATAAACTGTTAAAGATAACGTTAGCTTGATATGTTCGCTTCCATTGCCACCGTTGTTACCAGCTAATGGTGCGTTCGCTTTCTCCTCGGAAATTCTATCTTCCCAGTAGGAAAAATCAAATGAAAAAGGACGGCAAAAGGAATGAAGATACGCAGTAAATTTAGTTCACAGTAAAGATGTTTGCTTCAGTTTAATTATCAGCTTATAAAACTACAAGGACGATGTTAAAATACAAACTTGTATGTTATTTATCGTGATATTTATCAAATATGGTTATATATTGAGAAAAATATATATTTAATTATAAAAGAGAATTAAAATAATAAACACTCAAAAGTATCGAAAATTGGTACCGTTAAGTACCGGTATCGACTCGTAGGTACCGGGAATTAGTACCGGATCGATTCAAATGTCAAAGGTACCCATCCCTAGGGCCGAGACGTAAGCCTTTGCAAGAGGATTCAGGTAGATGGGAGCCGTACCATCTCGGACTTTGTATGCTAGTGTTAGCAATTTGAATTTGATGCGTGCTGCTAGCGGTAGCCAGTGGAGCTCAATGAACAGAGGGGTGACGTGTGCTCTTTTTGGCTGATTGAAGACCAGACGCGCCGCTGCGTTCTGGACCATTTGAAGAGGTCTCACAGTACAGGCTGGGAGACCAGTTAGAAGGGCGTTGCAGTAATCGAGGCTGGAGATGACGGTAGATTACACCAGGAGCTGGGTGGCATGTTGTGTTAGGTATGGTCTGATCTTTCGTATGTTATAGCGCAAAGCGGCATGAACGAGCAGCAGAGGCAACATGATCTTCAAAGGTCAGGTGTTCATCAATCACAACATCCAGATTTCGAACTGCCTTTGAAGGAGCCAGAGATAGGAAGTCATTTTGGAGTGAGATATTGTGCCGTATGGATGGTTTTGCTGGGATGACAAATAGATCCGTTTTAGAGAGGTTGAGTTGGAGATGGTGGGATTTCATCCATTTTGATATGTCAGAGAGACAGTTTGATATTCGTGCAGAGACAGTGTGGTCGTCCGGCGGAATGCTAGACACAGTTTTGTTTACGGTAGTTACAACATCCGAATGTGTACGTTAGTACGTCCCCAGAAGCGTATGTCATTTATTTACCAGGAAACAAAAGAAGAACAGGACAAATTAAAGAGATCTGTTCATTTTTAGAATATTTGATCACTTTTTGGTCATTTTTGGGTTTAAAATGTGTGTAAACTGTTGTGATCCAACGACTTTAACGCATCTGTACCTGAGAGGTCCAAACAGGTGTTGGAACCCTCCTCTCCCACTCGTCCCGACTCCGTCAGGGTGCTGAAAAGGGTCCCGATGGGGTCCAGAGGGTGTCCCACCCAGCCCTCCATGTTGGTTATGGAGGTATGACTTTTGTGGAGCAACTCTAGAATAAACCGAAGCAGATTACGTGTTATTTACATATTTAATTAGTGATTGACAACTCCAGATTATGGAGATTTAAACGTGTTTGTGTGATTTTTGATTGAATTTTAGATTTTTTAATACATCATAATAGTTCATGCATGATGCAAATCATGTCTAGCCATGATGAGCGTGTTAGAGTGTAAAGAAAAATACACAGAAAAGTCCAGAAAAAGTCACTTATTGTGCAAAAAGACTACTTCACTTTAACACAAGGCAGCCTCTTATTGAAAAAATGTATAAACATTATTAAAAAGCAGTTTTAATGCACTAAAATACAAAAACATGATAGAAGTGTCCATTTACAACCGTAAACATGAGCTTTCTGTAATGACTTGCAGCCATCAGGCCTCAAAAACCAAATATAAGAGCGTTTAAAACCTGGACCAATCAAATGGACTCACCTTTTTTGTGCCGTCGAAAGTGCTCCAGTTGCCTCTGCTGCTGCCTCCGTAACGTGTTAACCACCGCGATGGCCAGTCGGAGGGCTTCTCTGGGGTAACCATGGGAGCGCAGGGCATCAACCCGCGCGCAGGCCGTCGGGACGTGTTCTGGGTAGAAGATCGGTTCAGCCCAAATGTTCTCCGTTTAGCCGATGGGCATTCATGCTCCACCTCCAGCGTGTTATAAAAGGAACTCACGAGACACCTACACACACACAGAGACTCACCATGCCATAAAGGCCAGCCGCGTGAGTCGAAGAGGGAACCCTCCTGGTTGTCATGGTAACAGTAGTTGGCGTAGAGGTCACTGGTGATAATGTGCTGGAGGTGTCGGTCCTGCCAGTGCAGGTCGCAGGCCTCAATGGCTCGCGTGAACACGGTCCTGTGGGGGCGCATCTCTGCAGAGGGAGAGAGGAGGAGGAGGAGAGATTTAACGCTCGATCGTTTTTTATGTCCCGGAATAAAACCCACATGCACCATTATTCTGCTGATTCTTCTATTAAAAGCACCACTAATACTCATCATTATTATTATTATTATTATTATCTTGTTTGTTCATTTGCATAATTACCACAAAATATAATCTGCTCAATTAGAAAAAAATCTGATGGAAGTGCTTTAAAAAAGTTCAAAGTGATGTTTTATTGCAAACTGGGACGTGGGTGCACATGACAAATTCACTCTACTGTTGCGTAAGCAAAACATAAATAAATCCGAGCGATCCGTTAAGCCTTCTTCCTGATGCAACCCCTCTCATCTCTCCATCTGCGTTATTGCATCATGAACGCGTTATCGACAGACATATGAAACTCTTCCATCGCTGACCTTGGTTGCCGTGGGCGCCCTGAGGCAGCGAGTGGGTGAGGTTGGGCAGTTCGTTGCCGTGGTTACCGTCCTCCCAGGGGCAGACGTCCACACTGTTCCACCGGCGCAGCTGGCGAAGCCACGAGGACTTCTGCTCGGGTTTACAGTGGGGGTTCAGTACGATGCACATCCACAGGGCGCCTGGACGCAAAACGTAAACACCAATCAGCTGACGCCCTCTTTAAAACAATGTAAACAACTGGTCTAACGGGGTGGGGAAATGTGCCTTGTGCGATTCAAAAGACAGCTTCTATGCAAAAATGAAAGCTTGAGGCGTTTTTCCAGAGAGCAACGTTGTTTCTTGTTCTCCCGAGCTCCGTCTCTGAGCTGCTGCCATCTTGCGCTAGGATACAAAAAGTCTCAAAACAGAGACTATTTAGAGGCGACGCTGCCTGCACACACATCATTTTGGAGTAAATTGGAACAAACAGAAAATGAAAAGTGGCTGCGTCTCCGAGGGATCCGAGTGCATTCGGGGAGTTTTACTCTCAGGAGTGCCGCTGATATGTACACTAGTGAGTGGGTTGATTGTGCTACAGATGCATGTGTGCATAGTGGAATAGATTTTGGGGATGAGGACAAAACCAAGGACAAAAAGATGCAGAGAGAGAATGAAAAAAAAGAGAAAGATTTGCACAAGGAGGCACGGCTTTGTGTCTAGAGGAGAACTTAAAGATGCAAAAGACAAAAGGAGAGAGTGAGCAGCGCTGAGAGGCACGCGTTCACACATCAGGTGGAGTGATATGGACTCGGCAAGAAAGGTTTGAAGTGAGGACTTCAAAGGGATCGTGCACACACTTCCAAAAATATGTGGGAGACGAGATCACTGCGCTGTCCTTACAAAGTGCAGAGCAAGACCAAAGAGAGACAATAAAAATACAAACATCATCATCATCACCATCATCAATAAGAGCGGCACCAGAGACATGAGCAGGAAGCGACAACGACACAAGGCGACACTGCCGCCGTCGTCCCGGTGATGGGCTTGTTGGTTCCGCGTGTCGTACAGTAAGTCTGTCACAAGAACACTTGATGTCAAACCCAAACAAGCACGCAGTGAGCGGCTCTCTGTCACTTCAACTAAAAATATAACGAGAAGTGTTTGAAAACACAGCAGAGGTGAGGCACAATGTGCGGCATTAATCGCCTTTTAATTCGCAAAAAAACATCTTGCAGAAGCTGCCAAGCCCGCAGTCACGAGCAGAGGCACAAACACCGGGCTGTCAGCGACAAGCTCGTACATCTGAGACCGCGTGTGGGTTTTCTTGGACACAAAGGCTCAAGAAAACACAAACAGGAAGGGAAAAAAATGCATGTTTGCTTTTGTGTCAGCGCCTAGATTCGATCACCCACCTTGCTAAATCTGTCAGAGCCTGCATGTGTGTGTGTGTGTGTGTGTGTGTGTGTGTGTGTGTATGCTGTTATAGGACAGTGTGTGATGTTGTCTCCCTCGCTCACCCAACTCGTCCCAGAGCTGTCTGTACTTGTCGGTCATGGTGGTGCCCTGCTGTCTCCACAGCGCCAGCCGAGGGTCGGCCATGAACTGCTCTGTGATCAGTGTTAACATCCTTGCTCCGTTGGAGTCACGCATCTTCAGCATCTCCCTCACCTAGAGAAGGAGAGACGTGCGATTACAACATCACACGCCTGCTTTTAGGACCAAACTTTTACATGGAACATGTAGAAATAAAACATTTTATTGATATAGGACAGTTTCTACAAATGTTTAATAAATGAGGGCCCAGCTGGACTTTCTTGTTTCTCTAAAAGACGTTTCACCTCTCATCCAAGCTTGGTTCTGAAACTTTGGGTTGGAGAAGCCTTTTAGGGGTTCGTCTGAAACTAACATGCTGATAGGGCAATAGGAGATGCTGATGAGGTCACTGTTATTACAACTGAGGCCATCAAGGTCACATGAGTCCCTGGCTCTTCCCTCTGTTTGGCCACTTGTTTATGTTGTTTGTGCCGATGGTCTTCAGGGAAAACAAGAAAAGTCCAACTAAAGCTACTAAATGCATACAAATCAAACTATGAAGCAAACTTGCATGCAGATCCATCAGTTTAAACGGATTCGATTGTTGAAAAAAGAACTTTCTGGGTTGCAGTTGCAGCGATGTTATTTACAGCGTGAGCAGTTTCCATCGAATGACTCTCAGGTTAAGCAAAAGCGAGCATGAAAGACTTGCTAGGTTTGTTTTAGCCGACCGCACAAGCTAATACACGTGTCAGACCCTAAAAATCTTTAGCTAATAGTTTTAGTGCCTCTTTTGGTGAAATCAGCCAAACTTCATAAACAAACACAGTTTTGATCGTTTGAATCGGACTCGACAAAATCTGCATCGTGTCACTTTTTCGTGATTTGGGAGAATCTAATGTAAGCGTATACCTGAAGCTAGTGTGTGTGTGTGTGTGTGTGTGTGTGTGTGTGTGTGTGAGGAGATGAAGAAAAAAAACTGGAAACAAAGAGCACGAAGCTGAGAGACGTTCTAAAAGCCAGACGAGCTGGATCATAATGGCCTTGGCTTGCAGTCTTTACATAGCAACACCATGCATTAATGCCAGCCTGGCCCAGCCGCTGCAATAGCAGGGAAAAAATCTCTCATGTAATCGTTGAATCATGGGTGTGGAGCAGTATATAGAGCAAGTCACTTTCTATACCTCTTCATTCCTTTTTTTATTTTGCACTCCCCCCCCCTTTTCTATCATTAGCTCAAGCCAAGATCCGACCTGCCCTCTAATGTATGTGCATCACATGCTATCTTTCATCCCCGTTTCTTAATGCGGGTGCACAAAAAGAGTGGGAGACAGTATGTATTAAAAGGATGCAGTGAAACTAGACAAGAAGACCCAAAGGGAGGGCGGTGAGCCTACAGAGGCGGAGTGCGTTTGCAGCCGTGACCGAAAGGGCTGCAGGTTGCCGTGCGAGTGTTTTTTTATGTTCCGTATCTGCTCGGAACAACGTTCCCTCGGTTCTGACCTTGCTGAAGAGGAGATTGAGCTGCTTGCCCGAGCCGTGGTAGCCTCCCTGGGACAGGAAGAGCTTTACTTGCTCCTGAACCTGCTCCTCGTCCAGGTGCCAGCAGTTCTCGTCGTCCACGCTGGCTCCAGCTGTGGGGTCCGGGGCCCCTGCATGCACACGAACGCAACTCAAATAAAGACATGGCACCTCGGTTTTCTTAAATCTTTTTTGTTCTCAAAAGCACTCCAGAAACACGGGTGCAAAATCACCCGGTTTACACAAAGACAAGACTAGTGTTTTACCCCAGAAAAGGAACAAAAACGACAAAAAAGACGAATAGTTACCCGAGGCATGCACTCCTATGCTGGCTTTTTGTACATTTCACATACAAACAACGCTTCGGTAAAATCTTTGTCATTTGATCAATACATAAGATCCAACATCCAGTAAAATAAATAAAGCAACATGTTCCTGTGTAGGCTTATTTATAAGTCATCAGTAAATTTAGTTTGAAAGGCAAAATTGGACCTTAAATTGTTGTCAACATCCGGTGTGACATTTGAAATCTGCAGAACTGCAAACATTTTAAACCAGGCTACATTTCTTTATACTTTTGCTGCTTTTTAACTCATTTCTGGCCAATTTCTTATATGTTGCGCAACTGAGAACATGCAGAACGAGGGCAGAAGACCAACAGAACCGAAGAAAAGCGTCCTCCTGTAGCTGATCGGCTACTGTTCAACAGGTTTAGCCATTAGCTCGTTGGAAATCCCCCTGTTGGGCTTTTTTTAAGATCCTACAAAACAAATTGGAACACATTTTGTCTTTGTAAGAGATTACTAGTGCTTAAAGATCCTATTACAATTAATCCATGCTAAGTGGTTTGTTTTACGTGGCGACACAAACTACTTCACCTTTTAAGTGTAGGAGCCTTTTGTGTTTAAATGGTTCATAAGTCTGTTAGAGAGCTTGAAATACAAAAATGTGCCTGAAAAGGGTCGAGTGTAAGCACTGAAACTTTTAAACAAAAGCTAAAATAAAAGCATCAATCATTTCCGCTTCTCAGCGTTTCTTATTTTGAAAGATTTGCAACCAAAGGCAGCCGATGACTAAAATAAAAACGACTTATAATCCAGAGTATCACACGGGTGGTGTTGGTTTTTTCGGACTCCTCTTTGCTTCTGGAGTTTCTCACCATCTATGCTGGCTCTGAGCGCCATCCATGCTCGTAATTTGCGCCGTGCCTTTGTGACTTCATGCTCTACTCAGGTGAGAATGGACGTGGCCCAGATGATCTCCTGATATCTAATACACGTGTGACAGGGCAGTGCCTTCAACTGCAGCTCAAGACTGTGAAAACAGCTTTGGTTTACATTTCCAGAGAAATTGGCGGAAGGGTGAAAGGTTTATTTGTTCTCAGAAATCTCCTGTTGTCTCTGTTTTTCACAACATTCCTCCACTAAACCTTTTATCCTCAGGTTCCCCCCTTTTAGACAGTCGGAAAGTCTCGTTGTTTTTGCTCTTTAAATCAACACAGCACCTTGTTGGCTTCTTGTTTTAAGTAACCAGGTAGTATCACATCTGCTAGTGTGTTTGTCTTGTTTCCTCTGAGGAAAACTGGTCTATAATTTTGATTACAGTCACAAGATCTCCCCTCTAAAATCTTCTGGACATCATTAGTGAGCAGAATTGATCCTGACTAGGGTTGTCACGGTAACCGGTGTAGCGGTAAACCCTGGTAAAAAAGTTGACAATAATAATAACCGTCTTGTTTTTTAAAACATATTATCTCGGTGGATTACCGTGGCTGCGGTGTAGGCGCGGTGACCCTTACCAGCCACCGTATCATCTGCTGAAGTTGCCGGCGGCACATGAGCACTTTGTTGTTTACAACCCAAACTTTCTTGAAGCTAAAGCTGAAATAATGGCCAAAGGAGGAGACGGCAGCGCTCAGGAGGACATTTTTTATCCCTCAAAGAAGACAAAGTCGGAAGTACGGGCATGTTTTGGATATTTGAAGAATGCCCAGGGACAGTTGATAGAAGTTAAAGTTAAAGTCCCATAGTTGTCACACACACACAGGTGTGTGTGCGAAATTTGTTCTCCGCATTTGACCCATCACCTGGGGGAGCGGTGAGCTGCAGACACGGCCGCACTCAGGAACTATTTGGTGGTTTAACCCCCAATCCAACCCCTGCTGAGTGTCAAGCAGGGAGGCATTGGGTCCCATTTTTTCAAAGTCTTTGGTATGACCCGACCAGGAATCGAACCCTGGTCTCCCAGTCTCAGGGCGGACCCCCTACCACTAGGCCACTGAGCTGGTCAAGACGGCTATCCTGTTTGCAGCACGTGCAGAAAAAGTGTCTGTGAAAGGCAGCAACGCTTCAAATCTCATGACACATCTGCGTGACCATCACCCACAACTCTACAGTCAACGCAAGGCAAGCTAACGTTAGCGTTTTAGCTAAAATGCGTGATCCGAGGATTTAGGTTGAGGGAGAAGGCAACGAGTCGCTATATAAAGCAGCCGCAGCGCCGCTACCTGCATATAAACCGTGTCACGGACACCCCCATGTTGAAATGACGCTATGCATTACGGGGCTCCCAGGGGCAGATAAGAGTTGTTCTCTCTCCGAGAATAATTATGAATTTAACAACGATTACTGCCTGATGACATTTTCCCACATCTGCAAAGCTCACTGGAAGGACACAAACCGAGGACAATATTTTCCTGATATAGGGTTTATTACTCAAATACGGGTAAAAACGTATCTGATTAGAAGGCTACTTGAGTACTGAGTATCATCTGATCTAATATTTTTAAATGATAACATCAAACGGACAAAAAATGAGAAGTTATGGGCAAATATTGGTATTTTAAAGACTAAAGGGGAAAAAATGTAAACAAATTAACAACATAATTACAAAATAACACATTTTAGTCTAAATTTGGACACAAACTGAGGACAATATTTTCTGACATACAGGGTTTATTTAAAGAGCAAGTCACCCCCAAATCAACTTTTTTTTCTGATAAACTATATAAATGTGTGTCTAATCGTGCTGCAGACACGTGTAGTTAATAGTTTTGTACTTTAGTGCATTTTAGTTAAAATTGTAATTTTCTGCCTAAAACTGGCAGTGTTGTGCCGTTGTCAGGTAAAAACTCTGCACCGCATTAGAATTTAAATCTGCCACCGCTATTGGCTAAGAGGTATGCTATGATGTAAACTGGTACATTATGATGTCACAATGCCGTTGTGAGCCTGTGTGTGTGTGCATTTGTTAGCGGCTCTGCCCTCTCGGTCTGCTAGGCAACAGCATTTGTTTCATTTTTCAAACATGAAGAGGGAGTGAAGTAAGTTTCTTGTAGGGGGTGACTTGCTCTTTAATTGTGTGAAAATGTAACATGTTTAAAAAAAATACCGCAATAATACTGAAACCGTGATAATTTTGGTCACAATAGCCGTGAGGTTAAATCACACTATGACAACCCTAATCCTGACACACTTTACTTCCATCACACAATCAATAGCTTAGCATGCAGAGGCAGGAAGACGCAACACCCATCCACAAACGTGATCTCCAGCGACCTAGCCGCCTCCCACACACACACACCGACACACTCGTCTCCTCACCATGGACCTGGTTGATCTCAGAGTTCTGGGACAGGATCTCATCGGCCAGCTTCTGTGCGGTGGGAAGCACCTCCGTGTGGTGAACGGATATCAGGTACTGGACGAACTTCTGCAGCTGGTCTCTGCTCATCTGGAACAGGGTTTCCGAGATGGGCAGGTGCAGCTTGACCTGCTCGGGTTTGCGCACTCTGTAAAGCGACAGCGCCACCACATGGGCGCAGTAGAAGATGTCTTTGTTCCCGCACGTGCACGTCACCGCTGTGATCTTGCAGCGGTCGAAGCTGACGCTGACACTGCAGACGAGCTCCGGGGACGATGGCGTGGCGGGGTCCGTCACCGTGCCGCTCAGGTGGAAACCTGAAAATGTCACAAAAGATCAAGAATTAGATTTCAGTGCATCAAGGATCACTTTTTAAAAGGATACTAGGCTTTTAGCAACCCCTAGTGACCTTTATTAACTCACTGTGGTAAATTAAAAATAAAACTTGTCTCCTCACTGTGCGTTTGGCTATTTAACACCTTGATCTAACTGCTGAAATGTCTCCTCAGCCTTCATTGGTTTCTACAGGAGTGATTCATCACCAAAGCAAACAAATCAGCTGTGTTCATGATCTAAAACATGCAGGAAACGTGCTGGAAGCAGATTCCAGCTCCACCATGTCAGCCCCACTCCACAGCTCCCTCCACCGGCTACTCTGAAGTTGCAAGTCCGATGTTCTGGACACAGCGACTGGTGGGGTCTGAGTGAAATTTCATTAATCCTGTAAAAGGTCATTTTAGCACATACTGGCTCAAGAAAATGATTTAAACATGAAAAAATTGCATAGTACCTCTTTAAATGCTCAAAGCGATCACCACTTAAAGAGAGCTCAATGACATCAAGCAGTTCCAACAGGAAGTTGTCCTAAGCATCTATAACAGGCCAAATGGATCTCTTAATCAACTTATCGAGTGTTTCATTTAGTGACATTAGTGAAAAAGTAACACACTCCGGATGCTAAACAGCCTCCGTTAGCCACAATCACCTGCTGAAGGGCTCTGTAAGTGTTAAATAACCAACTGCAGTCTGCTGCTGACCCAGAAATCCAGCCCAAAACTAGGGATGCAACAATACCACTTTGTCCAAACCGACACTTAGGGATGGGTACCTTTGACATTTGAATCGATCCTGTACTAATTCCCGGTACCTAGGAATCGATACCGGTACTTAACAGTACCAAATTTAGATACTTTTGAATGTTTAATATTTTTAATTCTCTTTTATAATTAAATATATATTTTTCTCAATTTATAACCATATTTGATAAATATCACGATAAATAACATACAACTGTTTGTATTTTAACATCGTCCTTGTAGTTTTATAAGCTGATAATTAAACTGAAGCAAACATCTTTACTGTGAACTAAATTTACTGTGTATCTTCATTCCTTTTACCGTCCTTTTTCATTTGATTTTTCCTACTGGGAAGTTAGAATTTCCGAGGAGAAAGCGAACGCACCATTAGCTGATAACAACGGTGGCAATGGAAGCTAACATATCAAGCTAACGTTATCTTAAACAGTTTATTTAGCTGCTGGAGCAGATTAAAACGATGATGCCTCACACGTAGATCGTTGTCGCTGGTTTCATCTTCACCCAGTCACCCGTCGCATTTAGTGAAGTGGACCCAAGCTTTAGCGTTCGTTCTTTCTACCATGCTGCTCTGTTTACAACTCGCTCGCAGCGACCGATGACATAACGCTCTTGCGCATGCGCAGCTGTCTAGGCAAGTTCTCGTTGTGAAGGACGGGTACCGAAACGAGGCACCGTTTCAAATGAAGTGAATCGGTGATCAGTCGGTACCTTAAAAAGTACCGAATTCGGTACCCATCCCTAGATACGATACCGATATTTGGACCCGAGTACTTGCCGATACCGATTACCAATACAGATTCTTCTACCACACACAAAAAAAGCAATGATTTGGAATACAAATTTTATTTTCTTCTCTGCTTTCAACAGGAAAAGACTGTGAGGTAGATAAAAAGTAAAATATATGAATGGAAATCGTCACTAAACTAAAATATTAGGTGAACAGAAATGACAAGTTACAATGAAGCCATTTTCAAGCAACTGCATTGGTATCGATTAACTTTTACCGATACTGGTATCAGTATTGGTGCCGATACTGATACCAGTATCGGTGCATCCCTACCCAAAACTGCTGATCCACAACAGGAAGTGAGCAGAAAGCAGTTTCAGTATGAATTATACAAACTTTTGTTTGATCTCATCCTGCCTGCACCATCCGGAGGCGTGGCCTGTCATTATGCAGGGATGAATATGAATGAGCCAGGTGGGGTCCACCGTCAGGGGCTTAAAACACACACACGCACACTCAGGAACATATGAAAGATGAAAACATGTGCACACGTACTGAGACGCGGCGTGGTTCATGATTTATTAATAATGGGAGGGGCTAGGAGAGATGCTTATGAATGCATTTATGTGCTCAGGAGAGAGATCTGAAAGTCGTGTGGGCTGGGTGAAGGCATACACATTTTTAATATGTTTATCAAAGAGCTGAGCGCACACATCACGTTGATGTAAAGCATGTATTAACGCAACATATCAAAGGGTTTGCTGGTAAGGAGGGAGGGGCAGGAGCTGAATATTTCATGGGATTTAGATGGAGATGGGATGACGGCTGGACGAGCCAGCACAACAGAGGTCAGGCAGAAGAAGCTTTGTCTTCTTTGTGCTTCAGACATACAGTGAGTTCATTTGAAGAACAAAAGAGAAAACAGTAAACAAGATCCCGACTCATGCGTATAGTAGATACACCCTCAGGATGCACGCAGATAAAACACGCTGCATGCTGCCCTCATATTCTTCCTCGTTGAGGCTACAAAGTCACACTGGGACCAGCGAAGATGCAATTGAAAAAAGCATTTTGCAAAACTGCAAATGCATCAAAGCAGGGGTGGCGAAAACTTGCTTGGTTTTAAAACAATTTCTGCAGAACTAAAAAAAATAATTCTTGGCTGCAAAAAATGGTACAATGGCAAAACATTGCCATTGAGATATGCGTTCCCCTCCTGAAAGCCAGCTGGCAAAGGAAGTCCATGTTCGTTAACAATATCCACAGTAGAGGGGTGCGGATCAAGTATGGCAGCTCTGTGCATCTGCAGTGATCAAAGCCTGCATGTCTACAGCTGCGGGAGGAGCGGAGAGAAGAAAGGAGCCATGCTGAAACAATCCTAAACGAGACAAAAAGGTTTACCTGCCGCAGCTGGTGGCGGTAGGAAAAGCAGACGTATTAAAGTGTGAAACGACCCAAAAAAAAGAGCTAACAAGTTTTTCTTTTAATACTTGCTGATACCTTCAGTGTGAAGATGTGTTGTTTGTGTCTCTGTTTGTTTGTTTATTTGTTTGTGTGAGTTGGGTTTCAAGAGTGGCCCCGGGTCCAGAAACAGAACATCAAAAACATGTGGAGCTGAGAGAGGGAGAGGTCAAAGAAAAAACAAGCTGTGATGCGCGCGCGCACGCACACACACACACACACACACACACACACACACACACACAAATGTTTTCTTTCTCAAAGGGAAAATTAAAGGTGATGCGCTTTAAAATTCAAAACACATGGACTGTGTAAAACTAACCAGTGATAAAAGACTAGGAAAATTCGGTCTCGCTTCCCTTCCCTTTATCGGACTCTTTCACCTTCCAAGCCCTTTGCATCCACCCCCCCACCCCCCAGCTCCCCCTTTCGTCCACATTCCCACAGCTCTTTCACTCTCACTCTCTGACAGATGGGTAGGTAATGAGTTTCGCCTTTCCCTGTCCAATCGTCTGGGCACCAGAAACTGCCCCCTGCGCCAAAAATGCCCTTTTAATTTAGCCAAGCGCTGAGTACAGGGATATTACTGTTTAGGCACACAGACATGAATGCACACACACACACACCTCCCATGACTCCCGGTTGGGGTGGGCACAAAACCCTCAGCGTCTCATGTGCTAGCTATTAAAGGGCCTGGTCCCCCACCTCTTTCTCGTTTGCCCCATCCATACAGCACCCCTCCCCAAGTGCTGCTCAGAGCTCTTTTCTGTGCATGTTCAAGAGGCCACAGTTGGCTTTCAAAGTAACCATGGCGGCCATTTTTAGAACAAGGCCTCTGTGAGGTTGCCCCAAAAACCTCTCCTGACCGCCCTGGTGAAATCACACTTGGCTCAAAGTGTGGTGCAAGGTAGCAAGGAGAGTGTGTGACAGACTGAAGAAAAACAAGGAAATGCATACGTGTGCACATGTGCAAATTCCACAAATACCAGCAAACCACACACACACACACACACACACGCGCGCACACAAACACACAGCAGTGGCTCAGGAGGTAGAGCGGGTTGTCCAGTAATTGATCCCGACTCCCATCCTAGAGAATTCTGCTGTTGTGTCCTTGGGCTAAGACACCAGTTTGCCTGCTGGTGATGGTCGGAGAGACAGGTGGCGCCAGCGTTTGGCAGTCTCACTTCTGTCAAAGCGCCCTAGGTCAGCTGAGGCCATATCGTAGCTCATCATCACCAGCGTGTGACAGGGTGGATGAATAATTATGATGTGAAGCGCCTAGGGGGGTTTGTAAAACCCTAAGAAAGCGCTATACAAACGCAGGCCAATTATCACACACACACACACACACACACACACACACACTTGCTTTCTATGTAGGGGACCAAAAATGAAATGCTTTTTGCTTCTTTTTTTTTTTAATACTCGATTAGCTACTAAGCAGTCACGGTCCGAATCAAGGCCAGAAAGTGCTCTGGGAAAATTTGGCACTTCTTGTTTGGAGAAGAAAAAGACATGATCTACAGATATGGTGACTCTCAAGTCTACCTTTACCAGTGCGTGAGTTACAACCTTTTACATAACATACATTTTTTTTAAAGTTTGAAAGCGCCCAAATCCATATTCCACCTGTACAGCTGTTTCCCACCTCATACCCAAGGTTGGGTCTGAGACGAAGCAGGTCCAGGATGTTCCTGGCCATACAGAGGAAGCTCCTTTCAGCCACTTGCACCGGGAATGTTGTTCTTTTGGTAATAATCCAAATCCCATCACCACAGGTGAGGATTGGAACGTAGACAGACCAGTAAATTGGCTCAGCTCTTTCTTCTCAACAACAAAGGACAGCAACATCGTCACTCTTGAAGACAAACTCAAATCCATCACTCACCTCATTTTATCATCAGTTGTGTAGAAAACAGCAAGGCTTGTCCTCTGCTTGAGGCAGGGACTCATTCTCACCTCAGAGGTGAGATGCTTCAGCTTCAACACTGCTGTAACCAGTTTCGTGTTTTTACTTTTATTTTGTGTTAATTTTCTTGAACATGAAGTCGGTACCACCTCAAACAATTTATTTTGCAAGATAAATAACAGGACTCAATAAATGGGACTGATGGCATCACATCTGTTTGCATAAAAGGAATCAGTGACAACTAATGGCTAGCGATGCAGGCACGTGCAGAGGGGGGGGCGGAGGGTGCTTGAGACCCTGCCCCTTTTGTCCCATTTGCCCAAAGTGCCCTTTTTGAGGTTTAATGATTTTTTTTTTTTTTTATTTTTTTTTAATTTTTTATTTATTTTTTTAAAGAATTTTCTGTTTGTGCCCCCTCAAGAATAACAAAAATAATAATTAATAAAATTTCTGTTTAATAATGTTATATAGCTGGCGTGAGTCACGTGACCATACCGTCACGTGACCATTCCGTCTCTTCCTCACGCCGGCCAGAGCGCACAGCCGGTCACAACAAGCAGCAAGCACTCACGTTTAGAGCTGAAACGATTCCTCGAGTACCTCGAATAATTCGAGTACAAAAAATCCTCGAGTCAAATTCTCTGCCTCGAGGATTCGTTTAATTCATATTTAATTAATTCATGGCTTTGCAATCGCCCGTGGTCATGTTTCACCCGGACCGAAATAAGTGACGCACGTGCCCACTGGACTGCGAGTAGCGAATATAACTTAACTTTCTCTTAAGCCATGGCGGACAACGTTGACCCCGGTGGAGGGCGAAAAAGACAGAAAATGTCAAAGTTGTGGAACCATTTTTCACGTCGTAAGGTGAAAACGTAGTCCAGTATAAATACAGTAAAATGGATTTAGCCTAGCACAACACCACATCCTCCGTGCTGCAGCACCTGTAAATGTCACTTCTGCAAGCGGACTCGGAGCCTCTACAAGATAGTGCATTTAGCCTGTATTTCTATATATTCTGCAGACACTGTGACTTTTTCGTTTGTAGCGCTCAGTTTCAGCTCACACCGTACGTTTGGTAGCAACACGTCGGACTTAAAATGTGCTAAAAAATAGCAGTTTTTACACAACACGTCGGATTTTTTATTGTGTTATTGATGTCTGTTGTCCCTCGGGGTTTCTGCAGCAGGACACGGGTATTTATGAGAGTGGCGGAGGAAAACGAAAGAAAGTAAATAAATGTTGTGTGATCAGTATAATTTGACAAAACCACAGCAAACATGCTTTTGGCAATCCTTGTTAGTGTGAGAAAAAAAGTGTAGAAATTAAAACGGACGTGTGTTAATAGGGAAACAGGGGCGAGCTGTTTGCGCCATGAGCGGTTCTGGTTCTGTTTGGGCCGCAGCCGCTCGCAGCGTTATCCTCCTAGTTTTTGTCTGGCTTGCTGGCTAGCAGATTCTCGCATGAGGGGAAAATCGGCTCAGGTTGTTTACTTATTTTTTGCACAGGCATTTGTTTACTGTGAAGTAAAGTTGAAGTGCTGAAGTTATGCAAACTAATTTTGAATAAAACTTGAAGAATAACTGGCAATTGCTTGCTCATTTTAAGAGGTCTTTCATAATTATAACATGCTATTTGATATCAAATCACTTTTATTGTCACGTCACATGTGCAGGTACACTGGTACAGTACATGCGAGTGAAATTCTTGTGTGCGAGCTTCACAGCAACAGAGTTGTGCAAAAATACAGTAATGTAAAAACAAGTAAAATATAAAATGGCTAATCTAAGTATACAAATGAATAAAGTAAACAATAAGATAAGAGATATAAAATGTACAGAGGTTGGTATGTGCAAAACAGTGGCATTAATGTACAGTATGGAGCGTGTAATGTTGGAACTTGGTGGAGCTCGCGACGAGGCAGCCATACTCTGCGCCATCTTGGCTCATCAATATATGATATAAAGGTTTACAAACACAAAAGGGTAATTTATTAGAGTACTCGATTAATCGAAAAAAAGATTCGATAGAGTACTCGATTACAAAAATATTCGATAGCTGCAGCCCTACTCACGTTTTCTTCATGGCTGAGCGAGTGGTACAGAGCTTTTAGGACATACATATTGATTGGGAGAAACGGAATAACACCGGTAAGTAGGATGCAAACTACTATACAAAGTTATTAGATTATTTTGTACAATATTAAGTTGTTTTGTGGCACTAGGTGTGTGTGTGTGGCTGGGTACCGATTCTGAACCTCAGTAGCTTTAGGATTAACCAAAAACATTCTGTACATAAGTACTTGTACGAAAATATTTTTTCAATCTTAAATATTGGGAATTTGCCAATAAAATGTTGTTAACTAGGTACCGCAAAGTTGCATTCCTATTGCTGCTGCGTGTCACGTGACTAGGGTCTCACACAGCACTGCTTCTTGTTTACAAAATCACTTCCTGGTTCGCAGACTAATAAAACTTGAACAAATTTTAAATTTAGCTACCTTTTGTGAAAGGAAATAAGAAAAATACTAAAGGTAACATCCGTCACAAGTTTTGTGTTACTAAATATTCAGTCCTTGTCTGTAAATTCTGACCAGCGTTTTAGGGAACATAGTTTTGTTTTAGATTTTAAGGTTTCTCAGCCCTTCTGGTGGGTTCACTAATACTATGCATATTCTCAAAATGTTGGACTTTATATTTGTTCTCTTTTTGAATGCATTGTATTAAAAAACATTATGTTTTAAAGATGTACATTTAAAAAAAACTACTGTTTTCACAGCAAAATTATTTTATCTGTACAGTTCTCTGTTTTGCACAAAGTAGATAGTAAAACTGAATGAAAGCATAAACATTGTTTTATTCTTTATTTTTATTATAATTACTAAAGCACTATGATTAAAATAGTATGCAAATATTCTGGATCAGCGTCATGAAGCAAATTTTTGGCCAAATTATATACAGTTAGTTTTCTGGAAAAGGAATGAAATGTCCCAGTATGTGTATGCATGAGTTTTATATGCATGAAAATATATTTGTAAATTAATTATGATATATCATTGTACAGACATGCCTCGTAAGGAGAGGAGGCGGAAGCAGCGACAGAAAGAGCTACATGAGGCAGCTAAAGGCAGTGGGTCCTTCACCAGCTGGATAAAAAAAGAGTACAGGTAAGTTGCCTCACAGCAACAAGTGTAGAAACAATAATATACACAACTGCAATGTTTTGATGCCAGAAAATGTTTTTTATTAGCTACTTGATCAAGGATTAGGTGCAAGACCTGTTAAATGTGAATAACTACATAATTCATTCATACAATAGCTAATTTTGCCTTGTCCTCAGATGGACAGCAGGTGGAGAGTGATAGATCACATGAGGAGATTGAAGACACACACAACTCTTTCTGTTTATATTTCTGTCACATTCTTATCTCGGACATAAACTCCTCTATTATCCACTAATGTTTAGATTTCCATTTTCTACCACAGGTTTTGTCTCAGATATTTCTGTCTTACAGTTCTAAGAGTTTTCACCAATTTTTGCCATTTTTTAATTTATCTTACATTAATTTTGTAATTGACTAACATTTCTCCTCTGCTCGTTTTACTACCTACAGTCTGAGACCAACACAGCCTTGCCCTCCAGCATCATCAGCAGCAGCAAGAGGAGCAACCCTGCAACAGCTACACTGTACCCCATCATCAGGTAAAATAGGACAGCAACAGATCAGGAGGTGGAGCAGGTTGTCCGGTAATCGGAAGGTTGCAGGTTTGATCCTGACTTCAATCAGAGATTGATGCTGTTGTGTCCTTGGGCAAGACACTTAACCTGCTTTGCCTGCTGGTGGTGGTCGGAGGGACTGGTGGCGCCTGTGCTCGGCAGCCTCGCCTCTGTCAGTGTGCTCCAGAGCACCTATGGCTACATCATAGCTCATCACCATCAGTGTGTTAATGTGTGTGTGTGAAAGACTGATTGTGTTGTAATGTGCCTTGGGGGGTTGTAGAACCCTAAGAAGGCATTATACAAATACAGACCATTTACCAAAACAAGTTACTTTTGCTTTACATTGTCCTTATGTGGTAAGGGTGTATATAATGATTCGCTTCCATTTTGAATTTCTAATAAATATGATTTGTTATTCAGCCGGGTATACTGTGGTTATGTCATGGTGTTTGAAAATATTATTCTGTGTGCCCCTTTTTAAATTTGAGCGCCCGCCCCTTCAAAGGTCTCTGCACAGCCCTGTAGCGATGTGTACCGAATTCGGTACTTTTTAAGGTACCGACCGAATTCCATAGTACCGACTGAGCACCGATTCACGTCACTTGAAATGGTGCCTCGTTTCGGTACCCGTCCTTCATAAAGAGAACTTGCCTAGACAGCTGTGCATGCGCAAGAGTGTTACGGCGTCGGTCGCTGCGAGCGAGTTGTAAACAGAGCAGCATGGTAGAAAGAACGCACGCTAAAGCTTGGGTCCACTTCACTAAATGTGATGGGTAACTGGGTGATGATGAAACCAGCGACAACGATCTAAGTGAGACATCCTCATCTTAATCTGCTCTGGTAGGTAAATAAAATGTTTAAGATAACGTTAGCTTGATATGTTAGCTTCCGTTTCGCTAATGGTGCGTTCGCTTTCTCCTCAGAACTCCGAAATTCCGACTAGAAGAACATGAACGCGCTCTAAAGTTTGGCTTCACTTTACTAAATGCGACGGGTGATTGGGTGAAGATGAAACCTGAGACAACGATCTAAGTGTGAGGCATCATCGTTTTAATCTGCTCCAGCAGCTAAATAAACTGCTAAAGATAACGTTAGCTTGATAAATTAGCTTCCATTGCCCCATTGTTATTATCTAATGGTGCGTTCGCTTTCTCCTCGGAAATTCTAACTTCCCAGTAGGAAAAATCAAATGAAAAAGGACGGCAAAAGGAATGAAGATACACAGTAAATTTAGTTCACAGTAAAGATGTTTGCTTCAGTTTAATTATCAGCTTATAAAACTACAAGGACGATGTTAAAATACAAACAGTTGTATGTTATTTATTGTGATATTTATCAAATATGGTTATATATTGAGAAAAATATATATTTAATTATAAAAGAGAATTAAAATATTAAACACTCAAAAGTATCTAAAATTGGTACCATTAAGTACCGGTATCGACTCCTAGGTACCAGGAATTAGTACCGAATCGATTCAAATGTCAAAGGTACCCATCCCTACTAATGGCTTCCTATTGCTAGAGGAATATTTAACCTCTACCCCTTGTAATGCCACATTAAGGTCCAGAAGCTTGGGCCGGTGCTGTACTGGCTGACTTCAGGCTACATCGGCCGACACTGAAGGATTCTTCCTCTGTAAATGTCCCTATAAACCGAATTAGGCTTCCCATATGAAGCCAATCGACGAGGAGAAGGGTTGGGCCTGAGAGGTTTGCTTGCCAGGGAACAAATGTGCTCAATGTACCCAAATCACTGGACCAAATTAGATTGGGAAACATACATATATTTCCACAATCACATTAACATTCCAAGTGAATGGAAAAAATTCTGGCCCCATGGTGGGGAAGGTCGTTTGGTTTATTGGGTGAAATGGTTCATGAGTGACTGTCAAATAAATCTAATATGGCACAGTGCGGTTCAGACAGCACTCGTCTGTTGGGTTTGTGCTCAGATGTGCGTGAGATAGATTCTGAATACATGATGAATGTCAGTGGAACTAACAAGTTAAAACAAATGGCCTGGTTTGAAAGCAAGTAAACAAAAGTAGAGAGGGTGATTCAAGGCCTGTTTGCCTGTGAGGATTCCTTTTAGCTTTGCACATTAATCACATTACCTCGCGAGCTGTAGATAGATGCAAAGAAATGCCTAAATCCAATTATGCTGCGACAGAGCTACCCTGATCTAAAGAGGACCACCTGTGGAAGACTTAGCGTTAACACGGGATCCTGCTCGGTGTTGACCAGAGACGGCCTGCCTAAACCTCACAGAGAAAAGGCTATGGGAGTGGAATCCAATCCATTAGCCTGGATTGAACAGAGAGGCCCTGGTGAAAGGAGATCTGAATCGCAACCGAAGAAAAGCAAGGCAGCAGAGTAGGTCGAGGAAGGGTCAAGAACTGTTGGGCAGCCCCCCCCCCCCCCCCCCAAAATCTCTAAAGCCCCATCCCACTCATGGCTAAAGGAGCATTTCCTGCATAGCGGCTCCTTGAACTAGCCCAATTAATGGGACTACAAAGGCAAAAGCAAGTCCTTTCACTGTTTTCAAGGGTAGGTCGGTCTATGAGTAACAATACATGCATGCATGTGTGGTCCTATAAGGAAGAGCTCATACAGAGACTATAAACATAGATCAGTGCTATTCTGCAGGAGACCTTGCTCCAGGAGTGTGTGTGTGCATGTGTGTGTCCTAGGTGTGGGACAGGCTGGAATAACACCAGTAAGCTCCAGGGGCATTCATGTTTATGCCTTGAACCCACTGGTGGACTGATAAGGTTTCTTTCTTCTTCTTTGTGGGTGTGTTTTCATCACCCACACATTTTCATGCACACTTTTGTGCACCAACACACACACAGTCTGAATAGTTATCCTGACAGACTGCAGCAGGCATAAATTATTATTTAGATATTCTATGAATTCCAATGCTTTTACTTCAGTTTGAGACTGACAGCAAAATCTGAATGCAAATCATAGAGATGGCAGAGAATATCTGAATGTGTGTGTGTGTGTGTGTGTGTGTGTGTGTGTGTGTGTGTGTGTGTGAGAAAGTCTGTGTGCACTGATGGATGTGTGGGTGATTGGAGTTGTCATCAGCTGGCGGTTAAAATGACAGTCAACTTGGCTGCTGCCACTTAGTTGCCATGCGGTACATCAGGAATGACTTGCAATTTTCTAACTATCACTTTCAAAATAGATTCTAATTTTGCTGGATTGGTCTTGTCAGGCGGAGGTGGTGTTACAGCTTGGCTAAATGATCCCAAAAGCTGGCGTACAGAATGCTGACCAGTTCAGAAAACAGTGACGTGTCAGAGAAGAATATTGTGTTGAAAAAGGTGCAAGGAGGAACATTCAATTCTGGTATTTGAAATGGGTAAAATAGAGAGACAGGACCAAGAAGAAGAAGAAGAAGAAAGAAAGGAAGAGGAGGAAGAAGAAGAAGGAAGTAGAAAGAAGAAGAAGAAGAAGAAGAAGAAGAGGAAGAAGAAAGTAGAAAGAAGAGGAGGAAGAAGAAGAAAGTAGAAAGAAGAAGAGGAAGAGGAAGAAGAAGATGAAGAGGAAGAAGTAAAAGAAAGACGAAGGAAGAAGAAGAAAAAAGAAGAAAAAAAAAGAAAAAAGAAGAAGAAAGAAATAGAAAAAAAGAAGAAAGAAGAAGAGGAAGAAGAAGAAGAAGAAGAAAAAAGAAGAAGAAGAAGAAGAAGGAAGAAGAAAGTAGAAAGAAGAGGAGGAGGAAGAATAAGAAAGTAGAAAGAAGAAGAGGAAGAGGAGGAAGAAGAAGATGAAGAGGAAGATAGAAGAAAAAAGAAGAAGAAAGAAAAAAGAAGAAGGAAGAAAAAGAAGGAAGAAGAAGAAGAAAAAAGAACAAGAAGAAGGAAGAAGAAAGTAAAAGAAGAAGTAAGAAGGAAGAAGAAGAAAGAAAAAGAAGAAGAAAGAAAAAGAAAAAAGAAGAAGAAAGAAGAAGAGGAAGAAGAAAGAAAAAGAAGAAGAAAGAAGAAGAGGAAGAAGAAAGAAAAAGAAGAAGAAAGAAGAAGAGGAAGAAGAAAGAAAAAGAAGAAGAAAGAAGAAGGAAGAAGAAGAAAGAAAAAGAAAAAAGAAAAAAGAAGGAAGAAGAAGAGGAAGAAGAAAGAAAAAGAAGAAGAAAGAAAAAGAAGAAGAAAGAAATAGAAAAAAAGAAGAAAGAAGAAGAGGAAGAAGAAGAAAAAAGAAGAAGAAGAAGAAGAAGAAGAAGGAAGAAGAAGAAAGTAGAAAGAAGAGGAGGAGGAAGAAGAAGAAAGTAGAAAGAAGAAGAGGAAGAGGAGGAAGAAGAAGATGAAGAGGAAGATAGAAGAAAAAAGAAGAAGAAAGAAAAAAGAAGAAGGAAGAAAAAGAAGGAAGAAGAAGAAGAAAAAAGAACAAGAAGAAGGAAGAAGAAAGTAAAAGAAGAAGTAAGAAGGAAGAAGAAGAAAGAAAAAGAAGAAGAAAGAAAAAGAAAAAAGAAGAAGAAAGAAGAAGAGGAAGAAGAAAGAAAAAGAAGAAGAAAGAAGAAGAGAAAGAAGAAAGAAAAAGAAGAAGAAAGAAGAAGAGGAAGAAGAAAGAAAAAGAAGAAGAAAGAAGAAGGAAGAAGAAGAAAGAAAAAGAAAAAAGAAAAAAGAAGGAAGAAGAAGAGGAAGAAGAAAGAAAAAGAAGAAGAAAGAAAAAGAAGAAGAAGAAGAAAGAAGAAGAGGAAGAAGAAAGAAAAAGAAGAAGAAAGAAGAAGGAAGAAGAAGAAAGAAAAAGAAAAAAGAAAAAAGAAGAAGAAAGAAGAAGAGGAAGAAGAAAGAAAAAGAAGAAGAAAGAAGAAGAGGAAGAAGAAAGAAAAAGAAGAAGAAAGAAGAAGAGGAAGAAGAAAGAAAAGAAGAAGAAAGAAGAAGGAAGAAGAAGAAAGAAAAAGAAAAAAGAAAAAAGAAGGAAGAAGAAGAGGAAGAAGAAAGAAAAAGAAGAAAGAAAAAAGAAGAAGAAAGAAATAGAAAAAAAGAAGAAAGAAGAAGAGGAAGAAGAAGAAGAAGAAGAAAAAAGAAGAAGAAGAAGAAGAAGAAGGAAGAAGAAGAAAGTAGAAAGAAGAGGAGGAGGAAGAAGAAGAAAGTAGAAAGAAGAAGAGGAAGAGGAGGAAGAAGAAGATGAAGAGGAAGATAGAAGAAAAAAGAAGAAGAAAGAAAAAAGAAGAAGGAAGAAAAAGAAGGAAGAAGAAGAAGAAAAAAGAACAAGAAGAAGGAAGAAGAAAGTAAAAGAAGAAGTAAGAAGGAAGAAGAAGAAAGAAAAAGAAGAAGAAAGAAAAAGAAAAAAGAAGAAGAAAGAAGAAGAGGAAGAAGAAAGAAAAAGAAGAAGAAAGAAGAAGAGGAAGAAGAAAGAAAAAGAAGAAGAAAGAAGAAGAGGAAGAAGAAAGAAAAAGAAGAAGAAAGAAGAAGGAAGAAGAAGAAAGAAAAAGAAAAAAGAAAAAAGAAGGAAGAAGAGGAAGAAGAAAGAAAAAGAAGAAGAAAGAAAAAGAAGAAGAAGAAGAAAGAAGAAGAAGAAAGAAAAAGAAGAAGAAAAAAGAAGGAAGAAGAAATCTTTTCTATAGCGCCTCTCAAGATAAAAATCACGAGGCGCTTCACAAAAACAAAAAATGTAAAAACATCAAAAGGAATTTAGAAAGTGAGGAGGATTTCCATTTTTCCCATTTTCAATAGCTTCCTCTTTAAAAAAAAACAAATGTTTACATCATTTAGGACTCATCAGGGCAACGGTGGCAGGAGTGCTCGCTCTGTAACCGGGGGGTTGCAGGTTTGAGCCCCATCTGTCACAGTCGTATCCAAGGACACACTTAACCCACATTGCTGGTTGGTGGTTGTCGGAGGGACCGGTGGAGCCTGTGCTCAGCAGACTTGCTTAAGTCAGGGCAGCTGTGGCTACAAATGTAGCTCATCACCACCAGGGTGTGAATGTGTGCGTGCACAGGTGAATGACCATGTTGTAAAGTGTCTCGGAGGTGGTAGAACCCTAGATGGCACTATATCAAATGGGCCAGCAGTAGAGCGGGCTGTCTGGTAATCGGAAGGTTGCAGGTTCAATCCTGGCTCCCACCAGAGAATGTTGCTGTTGTCTCCTTCGGCAAGACACTTAACCCGCCTTGCAGCTTGGTTGTGGTCAGAGGGACCGGCGGTGCCAGCGTACGGCAGGCCTCGCCTCTACATAGCTCGTCCCCACCAGCGTATGAATGTGTGTGTGAATGGATGGATGACTGACTATGGTGTGAAGCACCTTGGGGGGTTGTAGAAACCCAAGAAAGCGCTAAACAAATACAGGCCATTCAATGAAAGCAGGCCAAATTTTCAAAATACCTTTACGATGGTACCCAGTTGTTATTGAGCATGAATTTTACTTCCACTACGGAACACTTCGTCCAAGGTTCCGATTTGGCGGGAATTTCTCAATATTTCTGGTGAAATAACCATGCAGTAAAAATTTAAAGCGCTACGAATGCCAGTAAACAGCTGTTTACATGAATATGGGATCTTGGAGATTGGATCTTCTCTAAAATGTTAACACATTGGTCTAGGGTTTGATCAGACCAGCTTTCCCTTATTTACCTAAATACCATCTTTGAACAGAAGCCGGTAAAATGACTATTTCTAACTTTGACAGAACTACATTTCAAAAGGGATGAAATCTCTTAAAGACTAGATGCAAACCTGAGAAGCATTGAGTGCGTTTACATGCAGCCAGTAACCCTTTTAAAACCTGAATATTCACAATAACCCGGTTCCGCAGGTCCTTGTAAACACCGCCAAAAACCCGGATATGCTCATAACCGGGTTTTTAAAAACCCGGGTACTACACCTGGGGTAACCCTTTTCTAACCCGAATGTTTGGTCGTGTAAACGCGTACCGGGATATCCCCATCAAAGCGTGTGTTCTGCGCATGCTCTGTTCGCAAGGAATCTCAGTCTTTTGAGTAGCGAGACGTCTTGTATGCGCCAGAACCCCGGAAGTAAACAACAAGTTGGGAGCAAAATGGCGAGTCGCGGCACAACACCACACTTTTGGAGCGACGAGGAAACTAAAGCGCAAACAAACGCGGTCGCTATCTCTTCCGAACTGAGAAACATGTTGTTGTTTTCACGGATACCGGAACGAGAAGAACCGGAAATGATGCATATTGCGTCTGGACGTAGTCCACACATCCTGACGCTACCCCAACGTCCGCATTTAAATCGGGTTATGCAAGTTAGGGGTAACTCTTTCTATTTATGCTTGTAAACGGGTTATTCTGATCAACTCAGAAACCCGAATACCGACCTTAACCCGATCATAACCTGGATATTGGCTGCATGTAAACGTAGTCAGTGAGTCATGTCCCCCTTTGCTTTGACCTTCAACAAATGTAAGTCAGTGGAAAAGTCACAT